GCTGATTTAAACTCCCTTGGGTTTTCCAAATCGGTATCTAATACATTTGCAAAAGCACTGCAACTGCTAATCGCTCCAGTGGCCTCATCTGGCCAGCCAGCAACAGGCTACAAATCGATCTTCGTACAAGGTGTTTGTTTATAATTCATGGAGGGGGAGGAAGGCAGAGCCATCTGCTCCTCCAGGCATCAGTATTTCTAACCACTCCCATTCCCTGCTAGGGCATTTTCACTTGGAAATAATTTCTAATTGGGAAAAGATTACATTCTAGAGTCTGGAACATGCTTCCTGCTGTCTATTGTATCATTTTTTTCTCCCCTGGTGCTGCCTTATGAAACTTTTAAGCAGTTTTGATTTGAAAATCCTTCCCTAGCCTTTATTTTCATTCTTAGAGGCACAGTTAACTACCCTATCCTCTCTTTAATATGTATTTTGCCTTTAAATGAAAGCCAGTTGCTAGAACTGCAGCTCAGTGGTCAAGGACTGTTTGATAAGGCAGCAGTTCTCAAGAGTGGTCCCAAACCAGCAGCATCAGAGACCCCTGAGACTGTAAGACATGCAAATTGAATCCCACATGGCCAACTGCATGATTAAAGTGCAAGCTAAAACACAATGACCTGAAAAGTATGTTGGGCGCGTGTGCGTTTGAGCCTGCAATCCTGGCAGGATGGAGAAATGGAGAAGGGATTGTGGCATGACCATGTCCTGTTAAGGGAGGGTTTCTCCCTTTCCCTTTCTCTCTGTCTCTGGTGAGCACACCCACCCTCTGGCTAATTAAAAAATAAAAATAAAAGGAATGCAGTTCTCAGACTCACCCAGAGATCTGTCTTTATGAAGTTTAGTGAGAGAGAGGCACCCCTGATGGTCTTGTCACTCTGCAGTCCCCTTCCTAGTCCCCTAGCTGATCAGGATCTTGGGCAGGCAAATACACCTGCATGTTTCTGGTTGACTCTGGACTGAACCACAGCCAGCCATGTGGTTCCCAGCTCTGCAGAATAGCACCTAGTGCCTGTGCCCCAGTGGCTGAGCCTGTTTGTGTTTGTGTTTTGTTTGTTTGTTTGTTTGTTTAGGTTTTTGCAATAAAGATGTGCACTTGCTGGAGAAAGGGAGAGCGGGAGAGGAAGTGAGAAATCACCCCCTCTCCAGTGGGGGTGGGGTGGGACATGGCCACACCACAATCCCAGCTCCTCCATTTTCCTCCCAGGATTCTGGGCACACACATACATGTGCCCAGTGTGGTTTTCAAGCCGCTGGGTTTGGGACCTGAATTGTGGAGTCAGCCATGTGGGATTCAGCACCTTAACCGCCATGCCTCCTGCTGGCCCTGCCTATTTGTGTTATAATAACACTCTAGGTGATTCTGCTACATGCTGAAGTCTGCGAAAAACTAGTAAGGCAAGGTGTGGAACACAGCAAAGATTTCCAGTGTGTAAGCTGCCAGTGTCTTAGGCTGTATTTCACTTAACCTTTAAGTCTCTACCTGCTTATATTATTGTTGAATCCTAAAAGAATAAGTTGTCCTTGGTATCTTACTTTCCTGTGATTCAAGAAAACACATAACACAAGCAAACACTCTCTCCCTGTATAAATTAACTCATCATAAGTTCAGCCTTATGAGCGGAATCTGTGCATGTGAATTGAAGCAGTGACCACTCACCATTGTAACTGAACATTTCCATTTCCACGAGGGAAATTAATTGGTAACAAGCAGCAAATGTAAGTTGCTAATTGGAGTCTTGAAATACAAATGAATTTGTAAACACACCACCCAGTGCTGGCTGAAATGGAGCTCCCAAATCTTCCTGTGCCTACCACATCCCTTTCATTAGGGTAGAAGTGGCACCCTAGATCAGTAGCTGCAAAATTTCTGAAAATGAATATGTGCTGGAACAGCCGTGATAGTTTTCAGCTTTTTTTGTCATTTGTCTATCTCTAAGCTCACTGCGATAACTGGAAGCAGTTGTGACATTGTGTGGAGTCAGGGGAGGGGAGCAAAATTGGGGCAATGGCCATGGACTTGGGATCATTGTAATATAATGTGTGTGTGTGCGCGCGCACACACACACACACACACACACACACACACACACACACGACCTGGACTTGATAGAGGCTTACAAGATGCTTTTTGTATGTATGCCTGGCTTTTCAGAGGCCTAGAGCCAAGTTTTCCAGAAGAGGGCAACTTCGTTGTATTTTCCTGTCTGTTCTTCATCCTAGTTAAGTGATTTGTTTGTTTTTGTTCGTTTGTTTTAATGTTGGTGATGAGTTTTGAGGGTCATTGTGGATTTCTGTGTGTTTGACCAAAACACGTGAACATACCTGAGCTCGATCCTGTGCAACAGCAAGATAGAAATGCCTGTTTTGATAAGATACCACTATGCATTTTCGAGATAGCGCATGTGGGTAAAATGGCGGCTGTGCAACCTTGTCTTTAGTCAAAGGCTTTAGAGTCCTAAAGCTGGGTGTGGTGGTATGTGCCTGTTCCCACTTCCGTGGTAGGGATCAGGATGTAGCAAGAACCTGTCTTTAAAAAAAAAAAAAAGTCCATAGAGTCCCATCTCTCTTGGTTTCCTTGTCCTACTTAGCATTTATGACTTCTTTACTTCCTCTCCCCGCCTTTGCTGGTTAGAGTCTACATTACTTGTTTTTCTTTCTAAGGCTTGTGCCAACTTCAAGGGTAGAAAAACCCAGAATGGACTCAGTCCTGAAGCTTCTCCCAATTCTTTTGGTTCTATATACCCCTGACTGGAATATGTTGATCCTGAGGAGATTGTCATTTTTTTGGCAAAGGGCGTGGGACCCTGATTAAGGAGCAGACGGTCGCCGTGCTAACTAGATAAATCTAGCCATACAGGCTAGAGCAGATGGTGGGTTGGGAGTTGAGCAGTAGAGGCCTAATGGTGATAGCAATGAGTATTGGATGTCATTATTTTATTAGTTAGCAAACAGAAGCATCCTTGTGGTCCCTCAGTTCTGTGCATAATGGTGCTGTAGGTGTCAGCCCAGAGAGTTGGCACAGTAGCCTAATCAACGCGTTCTGATGTCTTTTTTGATCTGTTCTGTCATCTCTGTAGCTTCATTAGCAACACACAGAGAAAGGGGAACAAACAGTTTTACAAATCACTCTGAGTCCCTGATCTCATCTGCCTAGCCCCTGAAAAATCAATGCTTTTCTTTGTTATCCTTGAAATAATTTCCTAGGAAAACTTGGTGTTGACACGTTTGCTTTACTGCAGTCTGGTGTGGGTAGCTGAACTTCTTGTTTGTTTTGTTTTGTTTTAATTTTCTATAGGGCATGTACACTCATCAGAAAGAGACAGAGAGAAGGCACCACCCCCCATGGTGGATGGATGGTCATGCCTTAATCCCTTCTCCTCCATTTTTCCTTTCAAGATTTTGGACCCACATATGCACACATCCAGCATGTCTCCAAAGCCAGCAGGTCCAGGACTCGAGCTGTGCTGTCGGCCATATAGGATCCAGCTGCCTTAACCATCATGCCCACTGGCTGACCTTTTCTTTTCCTTTCTTTTTCTTTTTTATTTTCTTTTTGTTGTTGTTGTTGTTCTTGAAGGACATGTGTGGTTGACAGAGAGAGAGAGACCCAGAGAGAAAGGTAGAAGGTGAAAAATCATCCCCTGGGGGGTTGACCAAATCAACATCCCTTCTCCATTCTCCTCTTAGAATTTTGGTCACGCATGCGCACATGCCTGGTGTTATTCTCAAGTTGCTGTGTCCGAGATTCAAACAGCAAAGCTGGCATGTGGGATCCAGCGCCTTAACCTCTACCCCAGCTTCCAACCCTGAGCTTATTAGCATTTTTTAACTGAACATAATGCTCGTGACAGTGGACACCTCCTTCAGATAAGAGCGAAAGTCTCTGCATAGAGTGGTTGAAGTGAGATGAGGCCCAGAGGGACTGGGTTCCTTTGGTGCATTTGAATGTGTTGAGCTCTTCTGTGCCCATGATGGGGCCACTCTTGTTCCAGCCTCAACAGTAATCATGTTCTCCTGCCAGGGAATCCCATAGTAGGGGCCCAAAGAGGTGTTCAATCAGAACAAAACCAGGTACGCGGGGGTGCAGTCCCAGCGCTAGTTAACACCTCAGTAGTCCTGTCATATGGAGTGGGTTCTCACTCCAGAGCTCCTGCACCCCGCCCCACTCCCCCCCCTACCTCAGCCAGCTGAGCCTGCCACTTGGCTAACCGTCTCCTTTATCCTAAGGAAGTGCTAGTAGCGGACGAGAGCTGCTGTGGTCATTGGCTTGTGATGTGGACAAGGCGTAGGGCATCGTGAGGAACACAGCCTGGGCTGGGCTTTGTTCCTCTTTATTTTCTCTTTGTGGAGTTAGGGATTGCTCTCAGCAGTGAGCTGACCAGAAGACTCACATCTCTGAATGTTTCAGTTCCCCTCTTAAATGAGAAGGTAAGACAGAAATCATGAAATGATTCCCCTCTCTAAGATCACATAGCAGCTGTTAAGTAGAGTCCACCCAAGGAAGCTCTGCTTGTATCACCTTTTTCTTGGAATCAGTATGTTTGCATTTTCATTCCTCTTCGTTTGGATCTTTTGGACAATAACAGCTGTTGAGCGGCCCTCCAGGAACCATTTTTAATAACTTTTTCCTTATCTAATCTCTCAAATGATGTTCCCTAAGTGTGAACTAGGACTCAGCAGGTGGTTGAGGTGATGTGGACTATCCTGCACTGTCTTACTAACGTGGTAGAAGAGGTGCATCTTTTCTGCCTCTCGTTTCTCATTCTGTGACATTTACGTTGGAATCACAAAGCATCCTTTAGCTTTCTAGAGAGGGTTCAGACCTTAGGAAGGCCTCAAACTTTCTTGGCTCCAGAATTGTTCATAGCATCAACTCCAAATGTCCTGATCCTTTTTTCTGTCTTGTCTGATGCAGCCTCCGTGAATGTGCTGGTGCAGAACTGCAAGATCTACAATGATGCCAGCTGTGACATTTCTGCAGATGGCCAGCTCCTGGCAGCTTTCATCCCCAGCAGCCAGAGGGGCTTTCCTGACGAAGGCATCCTGGCGGTGTACTCCCTGGCCCCCCATAACCTGGGCGAAATGCTCTACACCAAGCGATTTGGTAAGGGATAGGAGGCCCAACCTAATGACAGAGGGACGCTGGTGCCTTGGCATGGGCATTCCTAGGTGAGGCACGGCTTGGTGGGAACAATGCTCATGTACTGCCCCCGCCTAACCTGGGGCACAGGCCGGCAGAAGATGGCTTTGCACAAGTGCTGGCTAGTAGCCAGTAGCACTGCAGAAGAATCTCAGATAAGACTTCTTCCTGCCACAGCAGCCTCACCGGCTTGCTCCGGTTATGACGACTCGGAATTAGTGGGCGGCTTTCTGGTCATGGCTCAGGAAACTGGGTACACATATATACTGCAAGATAGGCTGACGTTGTATATTAAAAGCCCCTCAAAATACGTGTGCTATTTCATCATTTGCATTCTTTAGGAACTCCAAAAACTGTGCAAAGATTTACATACAAGAAAGTTCAGAGTGGTGTTATTAATCATGCAGAAAAATGTCAAATTGTAGCTTTAAGAGCTTTCTTTTCTGAGTTTCCTAAATAAATGATGGCGTAGTAATAGGCTAGAATACAATTGGCGTTTAAAACGATCTTATAGAAGAATATTTAATGATGGGAAAATATTCACAATGTATTAAGCAAAAACATTGGTTTCAAAATACTATTTACTGTGTTTTTTTTTGGTTTTTTTTTTTTTAGGTTTTTTTTTTTTGTTTTTGTTCTGTTTAGATTTTTGTCATAGGGAGCATACACTTGCAGGAAACAGGGGAAGGGGAAAGTGAGAAATCACCCCCCTCCCCCTGGGGATGGCCACACTGCAATCCCTCTACTTGATTCTCCTCTCAGGATTTTGGGCACACACATACCTGGAGTGTTTTTGAAGCCCCCTCCCCCCCGGTCCAGGAGTTGAACCATATGTTTAATTTTGGGACCAGCAGCTAGCGTGATGGCTATGTCACTGGACTCCCACATAGTCAACCGCAGTTCGAGTCCCGGACCTGGTGGCTTAAACTCACGCCGGGCGCGTATGCGTGTGTACCCAAGATCCTGAGAGCAAAATAGAGAAGGGATTGTGGCGTGGCCATCCCCTCTGGGGGGTGATTTCTTGCTTTATGTCTCTCTGTCTCTCTCTGTCTGGCGAGCGCACGTGCCCTATAGCAAAAACCTCTCCCAAAAAAAAGAAGAAAAAAATAATAAAAAAGAATTATTTAATTTTATTATATTTATTATTGTTACCATTGTTTTTTAATTTGCTATAGGGTACATGCACTCACCAGAGAGAGAGAGTGAGAAGGTAAGCCCTCCAGTCCTGTCTCAAACCACAGTTGGCCTTATGGGAGTCCAGTGCCTTAATTGCCATGTCACCTGTTGCCCCCCACCCCCAGGGTTTTGTTTTTGTTTTTGTTTTTGTTTTTAAATTTCCTGTAGGGTACACCAGAGGAGAGGGATTGAGAATGAGAATGTAAGAAAGCCACCCCCACATGAGGGGCTATGACCACACCGCAATCCCACCTCTATTCTTTGCTCTGGATATTGGGCATGCACACAAACAAACCCAGTGTGTTTCTCATGGTGCCAGGTAAAACCGCAAAGTGAGCCATGTGGAATCCAGTCACCATAACCACCATGCCACGTGACTAGCCCCAGTATATCAGTTTTTTAAAACGTGGTTCTACCAATGGTTAGGATTTATAGGGCACTTTCTGTGTGTTGGGCACTGCTCAATGCATTCACCTTCTACTCCTCACTCAATTCTGTGAGATTTCAGTTATCCCAGGTAGTCCAAACAAATGCAGAGTTGGATTAAAAGAGAAAAAACTGAGTGAAATGTTGCCTTTGAATGGAAAGAACTGTGGGAAATGTCTCTCTGTTCTGTTGGCCCCTAGGTCCCAATGCCATTTCGGTGAGCCTGTCCCCAATGGGCCGATACGTCATGGTGGGCTTGGCCTCACGAAGGATCCTGCTGCACCCTTCCACAGAGCACATGGTCGCCCAGGTCTTCAGGCTGCAACAGGCGCATGGCGGAGAGACCTCCATGAGGGTGAGTGCCCCTGCTTGTGCTTCCACTGTGTGGCAGTTCTAGGCTGGCCAGGTAGTGACAGCCAGCGGGGCCATCTCCCAGCCAGGACCAGAGCGGTCATGGTCATAAGGAGCAAGGAAAGGCTTCGGTCTAGCCTGTCTCTGCCCGGCAGGCTTCACCTTTGAAGCTCTGGATTCTGGAGAGACAGGCTTT